ATATTTTATTTATAATATACAATATTTAGCATTGATAAAAGTGATATATTGGCATATTTTTCATTGTAAGTAATTTTTTACTTGAAACATGAAAAAAATAAGATATAATATATAATAATACACAATGAAATGAGAAAATTTTTATAAAAAAGAATAATAAAAAAGGGAAAATGTTAAGATCTATTTGCAAGACACAATGATATGTATAATTATGTTTTTAGGTGTCGTACAAGATACGGAACAACTCAGAAATGAGAGTATTGCTTGCTTAAGGGCGAAAGCACAGCAACATCAATTGCAATTGAGTCTACAACCAACATCGACGCCGCCAAGCGGGTCGTACCCGTCTGCACCACAGTCCAGCACGCTGCATACTTCGGTTTAATCGTAAAAATACAGACTCTCTTCCTGACAGTTCCGTGTTCAATATTTTTGCTGTTGATGCGGAAGCAAGTATCCTGCCTAGCGAATCTATCGTAGATGATCGGCAGCACCGATTTCAAAATCAATGATATTTTTTTAATGTATATCTCGATGAGAATTGATCCTTTCCAAATATAAGGATCTCTTCAAGGATCACTTCTATGATTAATCTCGCAGATATCACTGCAGCGACGACGGGCGAATTCTTCGCGACGAAGAAGGAACATAGATTATTCCGAAATGATTTCAATGTACTACGTTCCTCGCGTCGTTTTCAAGCGCAGCTCTGTAAATTTTTATGACTGAAATTGTCCACAATGCAGTGTTAATCATAAAGTTCGAGAAGACTCTCTATATACATATATACATATGTATGTATGTATGTATGTATGTATATATATTACAACGAAGCATGGCGAACCAACAGATTAGCGCCTGATTTGCGTTATACAAGTCTGCATGTCTTATGCAGTAAAGGAGCAGGCCTATAGATTGACACAGATTCACATAAATTCTTTGCAACGAGTTGACGTACAATGATGCAAGACGCTTTAGCGGTGTCCCCATGTTGCGTTTCGACAAAATGAAATGCTGCCCGAGAATACCGCGAAATGAACAATGAAATTAATTATTAAGCTTAATTCTCATCAACGAAATAATAGCCTACTGATGATCTATATAACATATAGTAAAAGATCATCAATCAGGGAATCCTGTCGTTGACGCAAGAGTAAATTTTCAAGGGAAAATTTTTCCGATAAGAAAGTTGATAATGGATGAAGTTTGATTATTCAATCTGATCGATAATTCGAATTGATCGGCAGATCAAGAGCAAACGAAACTACCTAATTAGAATATAATTGCTTTTAATAGCGCGACTGTCTGTAAGCACGTATTTTGTGTGTGAGTGCGTGCATGCCTACGTTGTGTTTGTATGTTGCGTGTGCATGCGTAAATGCGTGCACATTTACATATATACGTGTGTATAGTGAAGAAAATAGAATAAATCGTGATAAAAAAATTTGAAGATATTGATCTTCAGAATATCAATCTGCAACGAATGTTGAGCAACGCGAAGAATAAAAGAAATAGGAAAAAGAAATAGGGATTGTGAAATGCTCTTAGCAAGATTACAGAATATATAAATACACATCGACGAGAAACAAGAACTCGGAAATCTCTATGATATATATATATATATATATACAATAAAAATATATTACTTTAAGTATTTGAC